AGTTCTGGAAAGACTGCTCTGTGCAGCAGGACTGGGAAGCAGGGAGGTGTGCTGAGCACAGCTAGCTTTCACCATAAGCTTTTCACTAAGTAGTATACGTTTCCTACTATATGCACAATAAAAATAAAAAATTATAGCAGGAAGCACAAGGAAACTAAAGATCTACAAAGAAGTCATTAACAATAACATAAAGAAAGAACCTAATTGAAAACTATTTCAGAAACAACTCAAGATAATTTGGCAGTAAAACTAATTTCAGAGCCAGATGTGGTGGCACACACCTGTAACCCCAGCACTTGGGAGGCTGAGGCAGGAGGATGGATCACTGCGAGTTGGAGACCAGATTGGGCTACAAAGTGAGCTCAAGGCCAGCCTGAACTGCATAGTGAGACCCTGTCTCAAAAGGACAAAATGGGAAAGAAAACCTAATTTCAAAGTGGTAGGAGAGGAGTTACAAGGAGTCAAGGAACCACACAGTTCTTGACGTAACTCTACCCAATCACGAAAAGCAAAAACACAGAATTATGTTTTATTGTGCTTATACTGGTTGGATCGTATTAGCTGCTATCCATATCCATATTAACTGCTAAACTTTCTTTACATTTTCAAGTGACTCAAATTAGTATGCTCAGGAAACAGTAAAAATAACCAAGAAATCCTTCATTCGGTTATATACTGTAGGGTAAGCAAGATGCACATGGTCTCTGCTGTCATGAAGTTATGCTAATCCTTGCTAAATAAACTATGCTCCACAGAAGCAATACAGAATAAAACCTAAGAGGGCCTTGACTAAAGCCTAGTCTGAAGGCTACCTTACCACTGCGTACTTTAGGCAATATTACTTTACCCCTAAGCATCCATTTCGCTACCACAGATTACATGAACACAGCACCTGAGTTGTGATGTATGTTTAGGTTTATAAAGCATCAGGAGCAACTTTAATAATGGCCGTGGAGAGGACTTCTTGTAACATGTTCGTGTGAGTTGCAACACTGCAAGAAGGTCATCTCCAAGTTTTTTCCTTCATACCATCTCAAGGTCAAGTGGTGTGCAGAACACATTCCAGGCAGAGGAGCTCCCTAGTATGTCCTGCTTCAAGTCTACCAGGACTGATATTTTATTAAGTCCTCATCCTGTGCCAGGGATATAGCTGAGTGGCACAAGCGCCTGCCTGGCAAGCACAAGGTCCTGAGTTTGATTACTCATGTTAAAAAAAAAAAAAAAAAAGAAGTCCTCATCCCTTCAGCCTCTTAATTTTTTTAGTCCTATGCAGCATGCACTCTGCAAACTTCTACAATTGTGAAGACTACTAAGACTATTACCCTGTGATCTCACCTGTTGGAAACTGACAGTCTTTAGAAACAGGCTACCTTCTTCTCTAATTTCTGCCTAAAAGAACACGGTGTAGTAACACTAAAAATGCTTTCTCAAAGAAATAATGCATTGGTTTTGTATCACTCTTATAACCAGTCAGCCAACATTTAAGGAGTCTTCTACATATATGCCGGTATATGAGGCCCTGAAGATACAGCAACAAACAACATGCAAGACCCTGCTCTCAACCAGCTCGGTTTGAAGAAAACAGAAACAAACCAATAAACCTAACAGCTACCAAAGCTAACCTGTGCAGGAGAGAAGAGTCATCGTGTCAAAGAAGAGTCAGGGAAGGCCTCCCTTAACACAGGACATTTCACACCTAAAGATGAGCAGGAGTTAAAGGGCGAAGTCCTAAGTACTTCACATGTGCTGTACTAACTTATTCTTCACAACTATAAACAACAGAGAGGTAATTAGCCTTATTTACAGACAGGGAAACTAAGGCTTAGGAATATTACCTAGCAGGGGAAAGACAAAATCAGGGCTCACAGCCAGACATGGAGAGGAGACGCCACAGGGTGCACTTGTTCCCACCACACTACCTGTGTGACAGACTCTAAGGACTCTCTCATGACCCTACTGTCTAGTGCCCATGTCTGAGCAGTCCCTTCCCTGCATGTGGCAGGCCTCTGAGCAACAGAAGACAGCAAACGTAAGGGGACGTCACTTCCATGGATATGGACACAAGTTTGGACATCTATACCGCAAAGTGACTCTCCCTTGTAGACTCTGGGAAAGTAAGTGGTTATGTGGCAAAGAACGATGTGGCAAGGAACGCAGGACAGGTAAGTACTGACTGATCAATTCTAGATTTGTTTCAGTTTCTACAAGAAAACTCAGGTCCACAATCTTATAGTGCATAAGGAACAAAATACTGTACTGCCAACAGCCACATTACCTTAGAAGAAGAGGTCCTTCTCAAGTCTCACATGAGACTACAGCCTTGGCCAACATCTTTATAGCCTTCCAAGACTAAAGAAGAGGACCCAGGGAACGTGCCCACACACCAGCCCCACAGAAACTGTGAGAAAATGAATACATGGGCTCTGAGCTGCCAACTTTGTCGTTTTACTGCCATACAGGGAGAAGAATATGCACTGCTGCGAAATAAAGTTCATCATCACATCCTGCTGCTCTGCTGGAGTACTTATTTCAACTGCTCTAACTACACACCAACTCAACTTCAGGCTGTGATCATAATTAGTCTTTTGCAAAATTCAGATACCAAGATGTCAGCACTCACCATAACCCAACCCTGCACTCATAACAGCCATTTTAACAAGTGTGTCTACTAATTCTACTAATTGAATTCTTTGTATTCAAGTTCTCACCTATCCATTCTCTAATCTGCCATGAATACATTCAGTGTATTTTTCGTGTGACACAATTTTCACTCCCCTGATCCAGGTCTTTTGATAATACCTTCCATATATGTGCCTAACCTTCTTCTCTTTTTTTTGAACCAGGAATCAAACTCACGACCTTGCACTTGCTAGGCAGGTGCCATGCTGCTAAGCTATACCCCTAGCTCTGTGCCTAACTTTCTGAGTAAATGATTTGGATGTCTCTGGTTTCTTAACTCTAACATCTGTGTCCATTCTAGATTTGTTTCAGTTGACTGACTTCCTATCTGTGAGTCACATCAACCTGCTTCTTTATATATATTTAGTAATCTTTAATTGCATGTTAAACATTTCACATGACTGACTCTCGGGATTGATTAATTTCCTTTTCTTCCCCTAGTCTTTTTTTTGATACAGGGACCTCCCAGTCAGCTTTCCTGTTGCTGGATCACAATACCCAACACCCATAATTTAAAGAGCTTTAATGTAACTCATGGTGTCAGAAGATTCAGTACATGGTGGGCTGGCTCCAAGGCAGAGACATGGTAGAAAGGTGTGTAGAGCAAAGCTGCTGAGTTCATGAAGGCTGAAGCAGAGAAGCACAGCAGAGCAACAGCACCAGAGAGTAAGGGGGCAGGGACCATTTACAGTATCCAAAGCCAGGCCTCTGAGACCCCCAGACTTACTCAGAAGTGTGCATTATTAATCCCTCAGGCAGACCCCAAGCCAATCAAATTGATATAACAAAGCTTAATGCCACAGTAAGTTACTAAGCTGCCCAGGTTGGGCTTGAACTTGAGACCTTCCTGCCTCAGCCTCCCCCAAGTGCTGAATTACTGCCATAAGCTACTACACCTATCGTGGATGTCTCATATTTCCTTCAAGAGCAACGGCAGTACTGATAGCAGGCTACTGCATTATTTCCAGGCCATTTTGCTCCTTTTAAGGTTTACTCTTAAAACTTTTTCCAAATAGACCTAGAGTAGCCTTTACTTTAGGCCTAGCTTTAGCCTTGCAAGGGTCTTAGCATGCCCTGCATTTAAGGCGATCTTTCCACTGTGGCTGTGTAAAGTACTCAAATAATTCTCAGCCCTGTATAAACTTTGCGAACTGTTGTGTTCACAGCTTTCCCAGACTGGTATTCACTTAAACAAGGCAGCCACTAGGTAGATGCCCAGAACTGTTTTCCTACACAGCTCCCTCCTCTCCAAAACTCTGTTCCTCAAAGAAGAAGACCTCAGTCTCCTGCAACTCCATCGTGTGTTTCCTCAATTCAGTGAGGCCACGTGGCTCTATCCGGGATTCCCCTGCCTTGAAGCATGAAAACTGCATCCAGTCAGAAGCTAAGCCACCACAGGGCTCACCTCATCCACCACCTATCAAGACGGTCCGGTGCTGCCTACCACTTGGTATCTGGAAACAGCGGTCTGCCCACTGTAGATTTTCGTAGTAGCAGGGTAAATTAAGAATGCTACAACCAGCAGCTCAAGGGCAGCCTAAACTACAATAGTGAGACCCTGTTTCAAATTAAAAAAAAAAAAAAAAAAAAAAAAGGAAGCTATTGCCTCATAGACTCCTTGACATTTAAATTTACCCAAACCACATTACCTTATCTTTTAAAGAGAGAACTTCCAAACATACATATATATATCATGTTGCTTTATAGCACTGATTAATTTATGTAATTGTTATTTGCTTTCTTTATTCTACATCTTATAATAAAATGTGAGCTCTGTTAATTACAGAGATCTTGTCTATGTTGTCACTCCTGTATCCCTACCTAGAACATATTCTGACTTAGAAAAGATTCAAATTCAACACATTAAATCAATAAACAAACTGTTTTAAGGGGCTGGGGATTTAGCTCAGCGGCACAGTGCCTGCCTTGCAAGCACAAGGTTGTGAGTTCGATTCCCAGTACCAGAACAAAAAACCAAAAAAAAAAAAAAAAACTGTTTTATAAGTATCTCACTTAATGTATACTGCGGACTCTTCTCATTAGTAAATCTAATCTAGATCCAGGTAAGCCTGACCCTCTAGAGTTCCTTGGAATCGTCTATTATCTTAATTAGCATCATCTTAGTAAAGGTTCTAGTTGCAAACATAAGAAACATGAGTTTTGTTTAGGATGAAAAGGAAGTTCTCAAAGTGTATTGAACAATTCACAGCTCCAGGAGGGCACAGGCTGGAAGGCTACAGTCAAAAACACCCAAAACTCAAACCACAGATCTGACATACGAAGGACAACACAAGATTCAACCACGAGATTTATACTGATACCATTGAGACCAGGAATTAAATGCTGCAACTGGAATCTCCGTCACTTTGCCTCTGGAAAAACAGATGGGGTTGTCATCACCTATGCCAAGGAGCACAAATTCAAAAAGGCCTACTTCCTTTTAGGTAGCCAGGCACAGGCAGGAGTGGAGGTTCTAGGTCACAGGACTGCATCTGAATAGCAAGACAAAAGCAAAGCAATCAACTGACTTTGTTGAGGGAAGGCGATCTCTACCTCCCAGCAAGACTCCTAAAGTCTTCTCCAAACACAGAAAGGTGCTAGACTTTTATCACCCAAAAGATTAATGAACAAGTAGCAGAAGGCACCAATCCCAGCACAGAGAACTCTCATGTATTTCTTCAATTCAAGTTACAGAAGCTGTTTCTCTTTCTTTTCTAAGTGTTTAACTCATGGGCAATTAACTGTTCACTGGCTTTTTATTATCTGGAGGCAGCATATGCAACTTACTATGATTATCCTAAAGCAAATTTACTTCCCTTGCATCTTACTTTCCAAATTTATAAAACAGGAAATACCTACTACCTTGCAGGATTGCTAGAGGTATTAAAATAATAAATATGTACAGCAGCTGGCCTAATAGCACCTACTGTTATTGCAAAATAGTAGCTTACTTTTTAAGAGACAAACACAGATCTACATGAACACAGCTTTTAAAAACCTGCCAACAAGTTCGAAGTCTAAGCTGTTTGTCTTACCTGGGTATTATAGAAGTAATGCCAGCACCCCATGTTGCCAGAGAAAGCAACAAGCAGCTTAGAGCAGGCTAAAATGTTACCATCAAAACAAAATGCAAGCATGGGTAAATTAATAAACCCTTCGCCCAAACTACAAGCCTGCTGAGGTAGCAGTATCACCATGAATTCAAGGCCAATCTGAGCTACATAATGAGACCCTGTTTTAAAAAAATGAAAATAAATTTTAAGAAGATTAACTAACAGCTTCATAATTTTCTAACTATGGTTACATGATCTACTTTCCTAAGCTGGGCCAGGTAGTGCACACCTGTAATCCCAGCACTCAGAAGGCTGAGGCAGGAGGACTGTTCCAAATTCGAGACCAGCTTGGGGTGCAAAATGAGCTCAAGGCCAGCCTGAACTGCATAGTGAGACCCCACCTCAAAAAGACAAAAAAAGATTTACTTTTCTTTAAAAAAAACTTTTTTCTGAAAACCTATCCATCCAATAAACTTTTCATCAATCATTCTTGTTCCATCATCCAAATTTCAATAAAGTTAAAGGCAAAAAGTTCCCAAACTACTTTTTTGGTCACTTTTTAAATGAAATCAAAGTTAGAGTTAATTTTAAATATCTTAAATATGCACCCTGAGAGCTATTACAAACACTGGATTACACTCCAGTTATAACTGTTGAATGACCTTCACTGTGTCAACTAGGAATGATGATGAATATTCAAGATGATCCCTCTCCATAGTTTAAATGTATTCCGATGACCACTGAAGACTGTAAAGATGTCAGTAAACTGCTACAATTACAGACTCCTTTAACCTAAAAGGAAGTCTTTTCACATTCTCAATATCTAGTTCCCAACATACAGTAGCTTCTTTCTCCTGAGTACACAGTGCTCTCCAACCCTCTCTTCCTTAAAAAGCCTAACCTCTACCTTTTCCCTCCAGACTCTCGCACGCCCTGCTCAACTCTTACTCAGCTCTTACTCACATGCCCGTCCCTGGCCTGGCTGCAGTTCTTGGGTCCTCCACACCAACTAACAGATCAAAAGATGCAACTCACAGGTTCACTCAGCGAGTGTTTAGTGCTTACTATGTGTCAAGCACTCGAAACTCTCCCTCCACCTTCGCCCTCACTTCCTGGTTGCAAAAGGAAAAAGTTTCTGCAAAGGATTAGACAAGCACTAAAAAAGTAATATGTATTATAAAGAAAGAGAAATGGGGACACAAGATTTGAAAAACTAAGAGCTGATTTGGGGAGGCTGGAGGGTGTTCCCTGACAAAGTGACAACTCACACTGAAGGAAAATTAACTGAAACGACAGGAGCCACTCCCGTCACAAGGTTCAGGAGCCTGCAAGAGGGCCAGGCGGGGCTGGAACACGACCACAGCGTGGGAGATGCACAGGTCCTGTGGTTATGCTGGTGTTTACCGGAAATTCACAGTTCACAGTTTAGAAAGTGTTGTGATTTTAAAGCTAATTCCTGCTCATCTGTTACTCAAGTCCCTCTCCCCTTTCTGCCCATTTAGCTGACTCTTTCTTGTTCTTTGACCTTCCCTGTACACCCAAATCTTTCACAGGTCTGTCTTACCTACAAGGTCTGTTTCCAAACCCTCTACCATAAAACCCTAAAACTGTCTTTAATTTCTTCCACAGCTCACTCTGATAATGCTGAACTGTGGACCTTCAGGCCAATTCCTAGGTAAACTTACCTAGATTTACTTCAGAAGACTTTTTTTTTAATTTTCATTTTTGTTGCTTTTTTGAAACAGGGTCTCAAAACTACGTAGCCTGGCCTGGCCTCAAACTCATAGCAATCCTGGCTGCCTTAGCCTCCCAAGTGCTGGGATTACAGGGGTGTGCCACCATGAGATTCTGAACTGGACTACAGAACCATTACAAGAAAATGCAAAGATAAATAAATTGCAAAATACTCAATGAGATCTTATTAGTTTTCTTACCCCTGCTGTTTTGAAAAACTCTTATGAAGGTCTGTTATATCACAAAAGTAACGTCTATCAATAACAAATGTCTGATGTGAGCCAGGCGTGGTGGCGCACACCTGTAATCCCAACACTCAGGAGGCTGAAGCAGGAGGATCACTGCGAGTTCAAGACCAGCCTGGGCTACAAAGTGAGCTCAAGGCCAGCCTGGACTCCATAGGGAGACCCTCTCTCAAAAAGACAAAAAAAGAAAAAAAAAAAAAAAAAAGCAAAAATCACCATGACAGTTGCTCTTCTCAAGAAAAAAAATGACCAAATCAGAACAAAGTTGTAAACTAACGGTACTTCTCTGAAGGACTAGAGTCTTATTTATACCCAAACTCTTAACTAAAAATTATTGTCAAAATGAAAAAAAAATTATCTTCAAAAACCAACGTCATGAGCTGGACATGGTTGCACACACCTGTAATCCCAGCACTCAGAAGGCTGAGGATTACCACAAGTTTCAGGCCAGCCTGAACTACACAGGGAGACCCTACCTCAAAAAAATAAAAAAACAAAAAAAAGTCCTATTTCATACTCCGTACTTCCTTTAAATGTCTTCTCTAGACTGTATCCTTAAGCCTACTCCAGAAACAAAGATTCCCCTCCAATATAGTTCCCACAGTCACAAAGAATGAGGTGAGGTCACAGCCTTTGCCTTAGTACTGATGCTCAGGTCCAGTTCCAAGTTGGGACTAGTAGGTGCTCTACTCTCACTCCACAAAATACATGTGTCCCAAATAATCTTCCAGTCAGCATTAATGTAAAACACTAAACAGAACAGGAGAGTTCTGAAGGAAACATTAAAACACTCAAAAATAAATGATCCGCTCATATGCTCAGCTACTCTACATTTTCCAATCCATAAATTACCGTCCAACTTTCTCCTTCCCAGATTCACTGCTCTGAACATTGCCTTTTCCCACCACCCCATTTTGAAGTTCTACAAACTGTTTCCACCTGTCCTAACAGGAGGCCAGAGGTACACTAATTCTAATTTTGGTTCTTAACAGATCCTTCAAGGATTCAGCAGGAAATATTCTTAACCCAACCACTCCTAGGACCTTTCAGTAGTCTGACGCCAAACATTAATATTCTCTCTCTCCTTCACACCCCACCACAACATCTTTTTGAGACAGGCTCTCTGTTTATGATGTTATTGCCCAGGCTGGTCTCAAATTTGTGGACTCAAGGGACCCTTCCACCTCAGCCACCCAAGTAGCTGAGATTACAACGCAAAAGCATGGCTTAATTCCCTCCTTTTTTTTTTTTTTTTTTTTTTGGTCTATTTGAGAGAGGGTCTCGCTCTGCAGTTCAGGCTGGCCTTGAGCTCACTTTGTAGCCCAGGCTGGTCTCAAACTCGCAACGATCCTCCTGCCTTCCTGTCTCAGCTTCCCCCGAGTACTGGGATTACAGGCGTGCACCACCACGCCTGGCCTCCCTCCTTTTTAGAATTCAGAAATACTCACTCAGTTCTGTTGAAAATGAAAGTATAGGCCCAGTGATATAGCTCAGCGGCACAAGCGCCTACCTGGCAAGCGCAAGGTCCTGAGTTCAATTCCCAGTACCAAAAAAAAAAAAAAGAAAGTGAAAGTATAATTAAGAATTTTTAAGGTGTTCCCATGTGCCTTCTACTTTTCACTTCGTACTCCTTCATCTCCTAATATATCCTCCTTACACTCTCACCTCCCATAAGCCACTGATCTCTCCCCAGTCTCCTGCTGAAAATCCGTCCTCTCATTGTCCACAACTGTTCCCACACCTTCCTGAGTCTGCCTCTCCCCACCCACCATACACGTCCGTCATTCTCCAAATTCACCCTCCACACCCCTCACCACCACAGGCAGCCACAGCCACATTGCATTCTCTGCAGACTGCCAAGTGCCCATGCTCTTCCATAAAAAGCCTGGCCACTCCGGTCCTGCCTCCTCTCCAGCCCCCAAACTGCCTTATCTCCCTGTGCTCTGCACATGGCAATATCTCTAAGATTAGCGCCCATGGTCTTGCTGGAGTTCATTTTTGCTCTGTATACACACATGAGAGGTAACCAGAGCTCATTCACTCCTGCAGTCAAAAGCTACCACCTAATTCACCTATCTTAGAGGACATGCAAACATTTACTCAATTAAAGAGAAACAAGAATCCCCTTCCCCATAGGCACGTACAAATTATTAAAACATCAGTTATTCATTGAACAGAATAAAAACCAGAAAATATTTTCAGATATCCATCTAACAAAGATTAAGTATTCTGTTACTTAAAATATAGGACCTATTATACAACTTAAGATGTTCCCTCATAACTAAAAATGCAAATCCATCTAGCCATCATTACTATCAGACTGACAGATTTAAAATCTTGAGAACACGTGTGTGAGAACTGGGAAACTGCACTGTCAGACAGTGGTAATAAAAGTATATACTGGTACTAGGTTATGTTTGGAAGAAATTTGAAATACATATTTGAATATGTGTATACCTATTGCAGACAGCTGGAAAAAGATGAAGAGGTGTCCCATGGCTAATGCTCACAAAACACAACTTCATGTACAAGAAGAAGGTATGTTGCAGCATTGTTTAAAAGCAAAAATACGAAGGCAATTTAAATACCCATTGATGGGGATGAAATAAAGGCACATCCATAAAATGAAACACTTCCCAACCATTAAAAATGACAGAGAACCTCTAAGTCAGCTATTAGGGAACTAGTTCTAAAATCAAGTAAGAAATTTAAGCTGCAAAACTGTGTTTAGCATGGCTTTGATTTTAAGTGCCCAGAGTGCACATACAACACATTCAATACCAACACACATAAAATACGAACAAAAACATGGGGCCATACAAACAGTCTTGTCACAATGTGCATTCAGGGTACATGCATATATAATTGGACACATATATGCAAGGAACACTACTGGTAGGAAACACTGAATAGTTCTTACCTACAAAGCATGAGATGGGGGATGATCCTACACCATGCCACAGGGTTTGATTTCAAATTCTTATAAAAGCCAAACACAGTGGCACACACCTGTAATCTCAATATTTGGGAAGCTGAAGCAGGAAGATTGCTGAGAGTTTGAGACCAGCCTGGTTTACATAGTGAATTCAAGGCCAATGTGAACTACATAATGAGACTCTGTCTCAAAAAAGGGCAGGGGAGGTGTATATTACTTTTAAAACCTAGAATTTCAGCAGGGCATGGTGGCACATGCCTGCAATCCCAGCATCAAGAGACTGAGGCAGGAGAATCATTACTAATTTGAGGCCAGCCTGGGCTACACAGTGAGTTCAAGACTAGCCTGAACTAGTGAGACCCTCTCTCAAAAAGACAAATAATTAAATATAAAACCTAAATAAATAAATAAATATAAAAGAATTTCATAGGTGATCAGAACTGTGCCTTACACACTTGATTTTTTTTGCCTCAAACAAGAGCCCTAAATAAATGATAAAGCCCTTAAAAAAAAAAAAAAAGGATATGGGCCACGGATGTAGCTCGGGGGCATAGCCCGTCTGGCAAGCACAGGGTTGTAAGTTCAATTCCTGGTACCAAAAAAAAAGGATACTCCTCTAGTCCAGTACTTAAGCCCCAAGGCTTTTCATGAGAATCATCCTCAGTGCCACTACCAGCACTCCCAGAGAAGGGAGCCGTCAAGAGGCAGCTAGCGCTCCCGACTTCCTCACCACGCAAGTGTCACATAACCCCTCATGACAATCACAAGGTGGCACTTCCCAAACATGCCCTCCATCTCCTCAGGGAAGGACACAGTGTGCCATGCTCTTCCCTCCCCTCTTCCAAAAAGCTCTCAGAGCAGGCGCTAATCTGAGTTTTAAAATGACAACCAACCAACCAACGGATAAAGTGTTAATCTGGTAAGAGGTAAGGAACAGTCCTCTTGGAGTATTCCCTTTTTGAATTTGGAAATCCAAAAAAATAAATAAAACAAAATAAATGAATAAATAAATAAGTTTGGGAATCCAGATTGTAATCTAATGGAACAAACTCTAACAATGACAATTATAAGCAACTAGATAAAAAGCAAAGCAATAATTTGGGGACAAAGCCAGCCTTTGTTCCTTCTAATCATGTCACATTCCTACCTGTCTACCTTAATGCTGTCTACTATAGTGTCAACAATACCTTATTTAAAACTGTCACTACCTGGGTATGGTGGTGCAGGCCTGTAATCCCAACATGGGAGGCTGAGTCAGGAGGATCGCTGTGAGTTCAAGGCCAGCCTGAACTGCACAGTGAGACCCTGTTTCAAAAAAAAAAAAAAAGACAAAAAACAAAAAAACCTGTCAACTTCTCACCTTTATTCACTTCACTAACTGAGAATACTTTTCTATAGGGCTAAAGGGAACTAACAATTTGCTAAGAATGAACCTGCACATAAAACAGCAACATATTTTAGGACAGCTACCCCTATAAAATCTCAACACATATACTGCCTTGTACTCTATTCCTACTTCTGCAGAAAAGAACAGCACAAAGAAGCAGGAGTCAGAAAAACTGAAACTAATCCCAGGCCAGCTTATTCTTGCACAGTGCCTATATACTTAGCTTCTTTGCATCCACTTCTTTTTTTCCTTGTCTTTTTGAAACAGGGTCTCACTATGCAGTTCACACTGGCCTCGAACTCACAGCATCTCCAGAAGGCTAAGAACCATTAGTTTTCCCAAGATCCTATTAGATCTAAAACTCCAGTTCAAGACAATTCTAGATCTTCCTTTTTTTCAAACCCACAGGAAGTAAAAAGGGAGATACTACATAGTAAATGTATCTTTACATCGCTATCCTCCTCCCTGGACACTTACTGAAGTCCTGATAAGTCCAAGTATTATTCTAGCATTATCTGCTGCATTTATGAGCAGGAATGCACACATGACATGGTCCAACAAACTATTAAAACTAAATCCATTCTAAATATGGATTCTATTTACATTCTAAATAAGATTTACATTATATTTACATCATAGATATTTATATTCTAAATATTTACATGAAAATCGGAGTTATCAAAAATCATGTTTCTATGAGAAAACTATGTGACAACGAAATAATATGCTGTTAGGCCCAAAATTCTTACTATGAAAAGTACAGATAATATAGTGTAACATAACCCAACTATAGATATATACTACAAAACTGATAATCTCTTTCAATTTAAATTATGCAGTTCAAAAGATTAGTGGCCAGGAGACCAGCCTGGGCTACACTGTGAGTTCAAGGCCAGCCCCTGACCCTGCCTGTAGTGAGACTCTGCCTCAAAACAAACAGATTAGTGGCCAAATATAGAAAATATCCCTAGGAAAGACAGGGTGCTTGGCAACCCACTCAGGTCCCCTTCTGTCTCTCTCTCAGAGAAGCTTTCTTTCCCCCCCAATAAATACATTCTGCTCTTAAAATATATATATATATATATATGGAATAAAACTAATTAACCGGTGGAGTAAGTTGCTTTATCTCTGGAAGATGCTTCCAAAACATTTGGAAGTATGACATGCAATGTTTTAATTTTCCCTCATTCTGTGCTTTTTTACTGAAAAGCAGCAGAAAAAGCACAGAAAATAGCCACCCTATCAAAGATCCAGCCTCCTTTGCAGCTACCTATGGCCACCTAAGTTCCAACTAAGAATACGTGACCAAAAGTCATGTGCACAACTTCTAGGTCTGTAGTTAAGGGAAGAGATGTGCCTTCCCCACAGCCCATTCCTGCACTGTGGATGTGGTAGGGAACTAGCTGCCTTATACAATAAAGAAAGGGTAATTCCTTAAGCACAGGAAAGCAACAAAAAGGAAGGAACCCTTTGTTCCCCTTGTCACAGGGCCATCACATCAGGCTTAGGTTGTTCACACTCTTGTTTTATGAGGAAAAATATGCTTCTTGTTTAAGCCACTTTTTTTAGCCAGACACAAGCCTAACCTCCATTCTAAAGATACATGTAGTTCAAATTTATAAAAAGTATCCCAAATTTATAACAAATTGATATTAAATATAATAGCTACCTAGTAACTCAATAAAGCTGAAAGTCTAAATTCTTATTTTAAGTCACAATAAAGCTTCCTATTGGATAATCTCATTACTGGCATTACTGCTACTATACCCTCTTATATTTACATGGCATACTTTTACAAAGCCTTCATTAAAGCCCAAAGAAAGTAAAAAGGCAGATCTCATTTCACATTCTCAAAATCCTGGGCAGGGCAACTGGTGCTATCCACATTTGGCTCCCAGGGCGTAGAACATACAGAAGCTATTTGGCTCAAGACTGAACCACTAAGGCATGGTACTCGGGCAGTATTGGCATACAGCTCCCACCTCTGCGTACACACACCTGTGTTCATGTACATACACCTGCTATGTGTGAGGCACTGGAGATCAATGTGATCAAGACCTACTGCTGAGCTGGGCGTGGAGGCTCACGCCCAGTACTCTGGAAGCTGAGGCAGGACAGTTGCTGTGAGTTCAAGGCCAGCCTGAACTGCATAGAGAGATCCTGTCTCAAAAACGACCAAAAAAAAAAAAAAAAAAAAATACACCAGACTTACTGCTGTCCAAATGAAACTTAAGATCTAAAGGGAGGGAGAGACAGACATTACATGAGCAACTCAATACATGAACAAGCTGAAAAATATGCAGCTATCTGTAGCAAGGACTATGGAAAGAAAAGCAGAGCATGGCCAAGGAAGCTTACCAGGACTAGGATTTAGGGATGGCCTCTCTGAAACAGGATTAGGGCTGAGAACTATGGGTATGAATGAAAAAGAGAAAGAGAAAGAGAAGGGGAGGAAGAAAACCCCACAGAAACATACACGCATCTCCACAGGAACCCTATGGTAATCACCACCAACCTATCTTACAGATAAGGAACTGTTGCTGTGAGACATTACCATACCTAAAGTTATACTGCCAGCAAGGGAGAGCCTGCTCAGAGTCCACATCTGCCCGACTGTGGGGCCTCTGGGTAGTCCCTCAGAGCAGGTGATCTGTCCACAGTGTCTTGCTGCCTCATCTGCCTCCTGCAAATGGGTAACATGCAGACTTGGAAAAGATACCACAGTTTGAGCACTTTTACACAAAAGCATGCCAAGATGCAAGCCATAACCACAAATGTCCATTAATTTTTTTTCCATTAAATTTTTAAAATTAAAATTTGCATTGAAAACTTTATAGACTTAGAAAACTTAAGAGTTTATTTAATGAACAGGAATGTTATTTAACATAGAGTTGCCAGACATGGTAGCCCACACCTGTAATCTCAGTACTTGGAAGGAACTGTTGGAAAGGTTCCTGAGGCAGAAGGATCCTCACAAGTTCAAGAGGTGGGAGCTGTATGCCAATACTGCCCGAGTACCAACAGTTCCTGAGGCAGAAGGATCCTCACAAGTTCAAGGCCAACCTCAACAACACAGCAAGACCCTGTATCAAAAAAACCAAACTTAAAAAAATGTTTAAAAAGGAGTTGATGCTTAAAGCCATTTCATAACATATCAAAGCAGTTCACTAGCCCCCCCCCAAAAAAAACTTAAGCATTTTAATTATGGGAAAATAAAACTCAAAGTGATTAAAATGTGATTAGAGCCACATTTTAAACTATTATATTTGATATATTCCTCAAAAAAGATGTGTACGTATAAATATATTAACAGAATATATTATAGACAATACATGTATGTCTCACACAGTATGTATATCTTGCCAAAAACTGACAGTAAGTACAAACTTTTAAAAACCACCTTCTAGAAGGGCGGGAACATAACTCTGGTAGAATAACCAGTTGCCAAAAAACCAAAATAATCCTATTATCAGCAAAAAATGTCTGCCTACAAGGAACCACATCGTTTTAGATGTCCAATGGAAGGCATTATCTCCAATAAAAAAATTTAACTCATGATACAATTCTAGAAGACTTCAATGGAAAGTGTAACTTTTTAAAAACATTTTGTTGGTTTATATAATGCTCTATTCTCAAGTCACTCTGTCTTCATACACCACAAAAATGTAACTAAGGCTGTCTGTAGCCACTACACTAGGAAACAAGACTTGGCTTCAATTACCTAACATGAATGTTAAATTAATCATTTAGTCTTATGAATTGTACATTTCACTTTCACACATCCCAAGGTAAACTTGACAACTCTAGCTTAACACTACTGAAACGACATAGACAAGATTATAAAAGAAACCGGACATGGTGGCTCACACCTATAATCCTAGCACTCTGAAGGCTGAGAGGCAGGAGGATCACTGGGAGTTCAACGCCAGCCCAGGCTACATAGTGAGTTCAAGGCCAGGCTGAACTACATAGCAAGCCCCTGTCTCAAAAAACCAAACCAATAAACAAAAAACCTGCCTAATGGTTACAATATTCATTCATATAAGTCTTTTGGAAAGCATAAGCACTACATATATATTGAGTGCTATTATACTTGGCATTGGATTCCTTTTGACAGTACAAACTGTGGTATCAAGTTTCAGAGGAACCTATCTGATAGTTTCAAATAGTATCTTTACTTCTAAACTGAAAACAGACACATGCATATGGAAGTTAAACCACCAAAAGACTCAAGAGAATCTTAGGATTGAGCTACCTCACAATTTAAATTACTGCCTTAAAATACAACAAAAATTTTTAAAACTAGTAAAATGTTGAGTGACAAGCCAAGTTCTTGATGAAGACTCTCTCGGAAGTTCTCAGTTTTGCTGCCATGTAAACTGGCAGGTTATTTTTTCCTGGGTTGAGGAAGAGTGCAAGACAAATTTGGGGGGCATGCTCTTGCAATGCAAGACTTCTTTCAATAAAGAGAAAGCTAATGCCAAAGCCAAAACTGACACACACCTAATAGCAAATACCAAAAAATTCACAAATTAAGCTCCCTCATCTGTTAAGTCTTGCTTCTAATGTCTTGTACAAGGCTATTTCTTCTTGTATAGTTACTTCTACCCAGATTTTTTTCCCCATAATTAGATACTTGCCAACCACAAGCATGCACACAGAAACACCTTTGGGCAGTCTAAATTTCTAAGCTATTTCTTAAAAAAAAAAAAAAAAAAAAAGTATTCAAGTAATACCCAAAATTCAACGCAAATTACCATCTTTCTTTGGATTAGTACAAAACAAAATACATGCCAGAGTCCATGGCATACCATATTTATAAAAAGTTATCTCGAATTTTACTTTCAGAGATATTCCTGGCACTACAAAAGCCTATAATCATAAACACAAGAAGCCTCCAAAAATAAAACTGATAAGCCTTCAAACAATAAAAGGGAAGTTTTCCTAACCAAGGGTCTTTTTTTGCTACCCATATTCGCTATCCACACAAGACACTGTCCTTAAAAGGAGTATTTTCATTTATCCTCGGTGTTAGCACCTTAAAATCTAGGCTTATTTTTTAATCCCTAGCATGCAGTAATTATGTAATTTGTAAAAGGTTCTACCAAAATGTCCTTAAAATGTTTACAAAGTAATCTCTTATCTAAATTGGAAATCCCTAAAAAAATTAATAAATAAACTGCAAATTCCTAAGGATAACAAAGATAGTGTCACTAGGTTATTTAGTCCATTCCCCAACCCTATGAATAACTGGCACTCATTCACGTCTATTCCTTCAAATCTAAAATTTTTGAAACTTTCACCAGGTATAAAGGAGTAGTCTTTCACCTTACAGACCGAGGAAAGGACCCTTCCTCCCAGAACAATTAATCTCTCAGCTAGACCTCTCAAGGGTGAATCTGAACCTTTAAGAGACTTGGTAGACACTGACAGGAGTCCTGAACTTTCTGGCAAGGTTTGAGGGCTACATAAATTTGGACAGCTACCATCAACACCACTTCCAGGCCAAGGCAAAGGTCGCCCAACTACTTGGGTACTCTCAGTGTAAGTCACCTGCCCCTTAAAAATCTAGCTATCACCAAGTAAACTTTTTTCTTAACTGTTTGTTTGAAACTTAAGCATGCGAAACTTTGTCTCCTAACTAATACTCTATCTAAAAGTAATACTCTCCCCAAAAAAATTATGAAAAACTCACAACAAAAGCAGTAATTCCAATGAATTATTAAAACACCCAAAGATCAGAATACTAAATATGTTCATTCTTAATCCATACAAGAAAAGTACAAAGGCCTACAGGGAAAATGAAATTCTTCTATGAAAAAATGACCAAAAATAACTTTAAAACTTTCTTACAACTTATCAATACTCAAAAGGATGCCTATAATTAAAATTAAGCATGTAGAACAAAAAGCACCAGGTAATACTCAGTTCCTTCCACTCAAAAAGAAAAAAAGAAAAAAAAAAAACAACTGACTACATACTTTTCAGGGAGGGGGTCTGAGAAGTTTCACTAAGTGAACTCATCTCGAGGTTTTCACTTCTGCAAACCCACAAAGTTAACTCCACGCTGAAAACTGTACGTGGACACAATCCCTAGGTTAGAACCCTGAGTCATCACTCCAAATTCGCCAGGATTTGTAGTAGCGAGTTGTACCCTAGCGATAGAGAGAGCCCTGTCTGACCAGCCGGCTGGCTCCTGGCGGCCCACATGAGTGACCTTGGCCGAGTCACTGCCCCTCTGGGCTCGGTCTGCGCATCTGTGAAATGGACTACAGTGCCTCCTGGCAGGTCAAGCGGAGGCACAGAGCAACCCTGGGGAGACAGCCCGGCACCAATCTCTGCGTGCGGAAACATCATAAAGGAGTGATTTTCCGGCAATCTGATGGAATGCAAGGACCAAATGGTTGCCGCCACGCGAGGGCTGCACCCAGATCCCAGGGTTCGCATCCGCGAAGGGTGGGCGAAAGGCACGGAGTCCCCGACTCGCCGCTGGGCCCTTTTTAACTATTTCAGGCGAGGCAGGCGCCGGGCCCGGGCGGCCGCGAAGCCGGCGCGGGTCGGCGCCCAGAGATAGCGGGCGAAGTTCGCGCGAGGCG